GCTGCATGGGGCAGTTTGCCAATGTGATATGGTATTTATTTGTACAGTCATTGTAATATATTCCCTTTCCCCCACTTTGAGTCTGGTGTGTTTTGTCTGGAAAAACCCATCTCACATTAGGTTGAGATGTGGGAGGGGGCTTAGACTAGGGGATTGGATTTTGGGGCTATCTCAAACCATGACATGGGGGCTCCGTCCTGCTCCCGCCGCCCCCGCCGCCCCCTCCCCGTCCCCGCGAACCTCCGCCGCCGCTCCGCACTCCATCCCGCGCCGAGGGGGCCCCACCCCGGGCCATGCCCCCTTTAAGAGCCGCCGGACATTCCCCCCCTCTCCCTCACGCAGCTGAGGGACCGCGCCAAGACGGCGGAGGCCCCGCCCACTGCGCGCGGGGAGGGCGCGGGGGACGTTGGGAGGTGTAGTCCCACTCGGGGCATGATGGGAAACTCCCCGTGGGGATGGGGGGGTCACGGGAGACACGGGGGGTCACAGGGAATACGGGGGAACACAGGGGGGACACGGGAGGGGGCGAGGGGGCCACGTGGACACACAGGAGAGGAGGGGGGTCATGGAGGAACACGGGAGAGGAGGGAGGACACGGAGGAACACAGGGACAGGGGGGGACCCAGGGGAACATGGGACGGGGCGGTTACGGGGGTTCATCCAGGTCCCAAAGGGCATCCAAACCCCAAACATAGCCCCGTTCCGTTCGGGGGGGGGGGACACAGAGCCACTGCTGGGGGCACGGGGTGGGGTTGGGGCAGGGTATCCTTTATCCCCCTTGCGCACCTCCAGGGTGGGCAGCAAAGTCATGTTTTTTTAGGGCTGCAACTGGCCAGGGAGCCCTCGTGTACTCCTCAGACCCGGCCTCCTCCGCGGAGGATGTGCCGCCCCATCACTGCCCCGTCCGGTGTCCCCCTGGGTCACCCTCGTCTCCCTGTGTCCCCCTGCGTCTCCTGTGTCTCCCCGCGTCTCCCCACGTTCCCTGGGTCTCCACGTATGCCTGCCTTCCTCGGCGACAATCTCGCCTCTGTCTTGTCCCTGCCCTCCTCGGCGACAATCTCTCCTCTGCCTCGTCCCCACCCCTCGCGACAATCTGTCCTCTCTTCTGCCTCCTCCCCGCCCCTCGGCGACGTCACGGGCCCGCCGGAATAAAATGCTCCGGCGGTCAAGAAATCGAGTGGGCGGCGGCGGCGAGCGCGTGCTCCAGGTGCAGGTGGGAGCGCCGGGGCTCAGGCAGCGGGAGGCGGCGAAAAGGGAGGTCTGTCGGGTTCGCCCTGACCTGGGCCGGGGGAGTGCCGGCAGTGCTGGGAGGGGGCTCTGGCGGACACTGGGGGTGAAGTGTTTCGAGCGGTGGCCCCCGGTGGCTCTCACCGGGTCTCAGTGCCAGCCCCGCGCAACCCGATCGCTCATCGCCGCATCCCTGGGTCACCCCCGTGTCCCTGCGTTCCTCCTCGTCCCCCCGCCTCTCCCGTGTTCCCCCTGTGGAGCGACCCACCGGCGGAGGCAGCCGGCGGCGTTGGTGACAAGGGGCGGAGCCGGGCGGGGAGGGCGCGGGCGCGCGGTCCTGACGACGGTGGGATCCGCTCGGTGCTGCGGGGGCTCGGGGAGCGGGAGGGGGCGAAAAGGGGGATCTGGCGGGTTCGCCCTGCCCTGGGACGGGGGATGCTGGCGGTGTGGGCGCTGGAGGTGAAGAGTTTGGAGCGGTGGCCCCCGGTGGCTCTCAAAGTCTCAGCGCCGGCCCCGTGCAGCCCGATCGCTCATCGCGCCGCATCGGCCGCGGGGTCGTGGAGGAGGGACCGCGGGGTCGTGGAGGAGGGACCGCGGGGAGCCACCGACCGGGCCGCCGGGGCTGTCTCTGTACCCAACCATGCGCCCCCGTCGGGGATCGTCCCGGAGTGGGCTGCCCCGTCCCCGGGAGTGTTCCCGGCCAGGTGGGACCGGGCTTGGAGCCACCAGGGCTGCTGCGACCTGTCCAGGGCAGCGGGGGGATGGCATGGGCTTCAAGGTCCCTCCCATCCCAAACCATTCTTGGACTGAATGACAGATGCGATCCTGCAGCCAGCCTGGAAAAGATCGCGGTGCTGCTTTTCCTGCCGCTCCCTGGCACATTTCTCAAGCAGTGACTCGTTGTCAGCGCTCAGTGCCCCAGGGCTCCAAACTGCTGGGGCAGGAGCCGTTGGGCACAATCCCCCTCTCTGGACTGTTCTCTCCATATTCTCTACAGTCTGACACAGTGCTCCTGTTAAATCTGCACTCAAAGAGGGTTTTTATTTCACCCCTAGCGATGCCTCAGGTTCAAGACGTGGCTTGTCCCCATCAAGAAGGTGCCTCTTCTAACTTTGCAGTGATTCAAGGTATGGAGGGTGAACGGAACTGGAATGGTGAGAATGCAGAGGAGCCCCTGAGTCACCAGGATGGATCAGAAACAAGGAAGACCCTCAGAAAACATCTGGGTGAGTGTAGGGCCACCTGTGTCCTGTAGGGAGGGGACAGTGTCGCCCCACGAGGACGGGGCTGGCAAGTGTGAGGCTGCTCCAGTTGTGTGGAAGAGGCCTCTCACCCCGTCAGTGGCTGGTGCCCACACTTCTGGCTGCTCTGGGGTTGGGTGGCGGGATGTGAGGGCTGGGCCTGCTCAGGACAGCCCCGTCCTCACAGCCAGTGGCTCTTTCCTCCTCCAGGCAATTGGTTCAGATCCTGCCGAGTGCTGACTGTGCTCCTGGTGCTGTCTGTGCTCCTGGTGCTGTCTGTGCTCCTGAACATGGCTTTGGTGGTGGCTGTGGCTGTGCTGGCAGGTTAGGAAGGAGCAGCTGCCTCAGCACAGAGGCAGCTCTGGGCACAGGGCTGGGCTCTCTACTCCCTGTGGAGGGGAATCCTCAGAAGTTCTCCATTTCCTTCTTCAGAAAGACTTAGATTCCAGTCACACGCGGGGCTCCAGAGTTTCTGGCCTGTCCCGAGGCCTGGGTCGGGTACAACAGGGTCTGTTACTACCTCTCGAGGGATGAGGGGACCTGGGAGCAGGCTCGGGATTGGTGCTCCGAGCTCGGGGCCTCCCTGGCCATGCTCAGCGACAAGGCAATGGTGAGTGAGGGGCTCTGGAGGGTGTGTGGGTGGCAGAGGGGAGCCTGAGGGGGGTTCCTGGCCTAGGGCAGCTCTCACTGCCTGCTCCTCTCTCCCTCCCAGGGCTTCCTCTTCCGCCTCAGTGGCAACCTGGATTACTGGCTCGGGCTGCGGAGATGGGACTAGCGGCTGCAGTGGGTTGACGGCAGCAGCTACAACTCCTCGTGAGTCCCGGGGGGACGGGCAGGGGATGGGAGGGATGAGGCTGCTGGGACTGTCCCTCCTGGGCAGCGCTTGTCTCCTCATGTGCTGGGGGAATGGGCAGAGACGACCTGTCCTGTTCACAGCCCTGCCCTGTAACAGCGCTGTCTCTGCTCCTCATTGCAGGCTGGAGGTCCTTGGCAATTCAGAGTGTGTGTACCTGGCGGACCATAAACTCAGGAGCGAGGACTGTTCAAAGCAGCTGCCGTATCTCTGCAGCAAACCCCAAACTCTCTCACCTGTAAT